TTAGGGTTTAGGGTGGCTTAGGGTTGAACCCTAAGCCCCAGACTCCAGACCTCAGCCGTCCGTGAGTGGCTTCATCGGAGCACACGCTGGCACACAAGCTTAGACGCTCCACATCAAGCTGACGCCGCTGCGCTGTATGCCTATGTTGCAGTCCTAGGTAGACAGCCGACATGAAGCTTCCGAGCCTCGTTTGCTTTTTTTGCCAACAAATCGCGGCGGGTGGTCAAACCCTAAACCCTAAATCCAACTCGTGCGGACTCTTTCTTGTCACTGCTGGGAGACTCCAGCGGCCGCAAACGCATCAAGTTCCGCGGCACGCAGTTCGGCAACAGCTTTGGGTTTAGGGCTTTGGGGGTTTAGGGTTTAGGGTTTAGGGGTTTAGGGTTTAGGGTTTAGGGTTAAAAGAAACTACAGGTGGGGAGTTTAGGGTACGTATATAGGGCTTCTTTAAGGCTTCGATTCTATTGGGTAACTCCCCACCTGAAAATGTCCCAGACAAGGAGATCTTCGCCGCTTCCGCTGCAACACGCCATGTCATGAAGCCACAGGGCTGGTTTTAGGCTTTAGGGTTTAGGGTTTGGGGTTTAGGGTTTGGGGTTTAGGGATGGAGAGCGACAGCATTGAAAGTCGAGCTCGCAGCTCAACAAACCACAAATTGCAGAAGCCCTAAACCCTAAACCGGATGTCCGTCTCTAACGCCATCTTTTGTGAAGCCGCGGAAGACCCCAAGTTGCCTGGGTCTAGGGTTGTAGAAGCTAAATAAATGTTCGGGAGGATAAGAGGTCGCGCTTAGAAGCTTGCGACCATCCTGGGGCTTGAGGTTTAGGGGTGCAGGGTTCAGAGTTTAGGGTTTAGGGTTTAGGGGTGCGGGGTTCAGTCTTTCTTTCGGTTTGTGGTGTAGGCTGCTCTCGGTAGGATGTGGGGCTTCTGGGCTTTAGGGTGTAATGTAGGGGACTTAATTATTAGAATAGGGTTTTGGAGTATATTATCCTATAATCATAATAAGGAACCGAGGGTTTTGGGTAAAGGGTTTGGGGTTTGGGTTTCAGGTTTAGGGTTTGGGGTTTAGGGTCTAGGGCTTGGGGTTTAGGGTTATTTAAGGTTTGGGGTTTAAGGCTTAGGGTGCCGAGAGCCTGCGTGAAAGAGCGGCACACCGTGACCCAGTGCCAGTGTAGCGCTACACAGCCAGTTTGCGCGCATGCGCTCCTGCGACGGATTTCTAACATAGGGTAGAGTCTACAGGGTTTAGGGTTTGGGGATTACCTATGGTCTTCATTGTAGTTCCTTTTTTGGTTTAACCATTTTTATATCAAGGACCCCATAAGGCAACCCCAAAAAGGAACTACAACGGAGACTATAGGTAGGCATTATTGATTAGGGTTTAGAATGGTAAGCCCTACGCAATTCTGCCCTAAACCCTGAACCCTAATCTATTCTTGCCACTTAGGAGTTTGGGAGCCCAACAGAAACCCTGCTTTGGACAAGCACCCATATAACTACTCCTCTAAACAACACGATCAATTTCGTACCAACCCATAGAGATTCCAGGGATCCCCTCCTACGGGTCTATTTAGGGTCAAGGGTTCAGGGTTTAGGGTTTACCCATAGGCCCTCAAGTAGTCCCCTTTTGGGGTTCATATATAGAATCCTATGAGTTAACCCCAAAAAAGGAACTACTATGGGGCCTGTGGGTAGGGTTTAGGGACCCGTAAGGGTTTAGGGTTTAGGGTTTAGGGTTTAGGGAATCACTTAAGATCATCCTTGGGTCTCCGGCGGGCTTTCGCTCAGCAAAGATTCGAGGTGGCCTGAACCACAGAAAACCTGTATAAGGGTAGTTTTCTAAATTAGGTCCCTTTTAGGATCCATATTATAAGGGTGCCGTACTATATTGGGGACCTAAAAGGGACCCTAATTTAGACAAATACCGATAAGTTTGTTGGTTCCTTCTTACGCTTCGCCTACATGGTTCCTTGCAGAGGTAGGCTCGTTGATGTTCCGGTGAATTAATGGCCCTTTCCGGCTTCCAAACACTCACCTCCCACCGCCAAAGCTGACTGCTGCAGAGGGTTTGGGGCTTAGAGACCCTAAAATCCTAAACCCTACAGCCTTTGCCCTAAATCCCCTAAACCCTAAACCCTAAACCCTAAAACCTAGACCCTAAACCCTCAGACCACGAAAGCAGCCAAACCCTAAACTAAGAGCACTGCCGCAAGTAGACTGATGTTTGGACTCAAAACCCCAAGCCCCACCAGGACCCCCACATGTACCGATTTTGAGAGCCCTAATAGCCCTTAAGTAATGTAGGGCCTTAATAGTCAGAAATGGGTTTTGGGGGCCCCTTATTATGATTATGGTATATATAATGGGCCCAAAAACCCTGTTCTAATCATTAAGGCCCCTGCATTTCATAGTCGCTAACACCCTAAACCCTAAACCCTAAATCCTAAACCCTAAACTCTAAATCCTAAACCCTAAATCCTAAACCCTAAATCCTAAACCCTAAACCCAAATCCTAAACCCTAAATCCTAACACACCAAACCCTCAACTGCCCTTCCCAACTCTGCGTTTGCGGAAGTCCGATGAGCTTAGAATCTTGCTGAAGAATTCAGGGAGTCCCTGCGGGCTTACACTTTAGTTACTTGGGTAGTTGTAAGTGGGGTTATAAGTCCCCGAAAATAGTTTACCCTACTTATAACTACCCATGGGCCTCCAAGTAGGTTTAGGGGTTTCGGGTATAGTGTTAGGGCCTGATTTGGGTTAGATTTCAGACTTCAGGGTTTAGGGTTTACGGCTTAGGGTTTAGGGTTTAGGATCTAGGGTTTAGGGCTTATAACTTATAGGGTTTAGGGAGTTGTAGACAAATTTCCTGGTTGCAATTCTCCCACATGTCAAACGATCTTTCCCGAACGCGCCCCTCCAAGTTCTCCCCTGCGCGCAGAAGATCCAAGGTGTTGACCACCCAGACAGCCCAAAATCCCTTAATTAAGGAATATAGCCTAAATCATAATATGAAGCCTGTTATAGTTTCAGGTATGTCCCTTAATTAAGGAATGTAGCCTAAATCACAATATGAAGCCCCTTATAGTTTAAGGTATATTCCTTAGTTAAGGGGTATTGGGCTCTCTGGGCACTTGCAGGTCAGTTGTGTCAATCTAAGGGCTTTAGGAGGGACCCCTAATGGAGACCCGTGTAGGTTACTGGGGTTAATATGGAGACTACCTGGCTATGTAAGGGGCATATAAGCACTATGCAATGGTTATTTAAGGTAATGGGATTAAGGGTTCCTATTAGGGGTCCCTCCTAAAGTCCTTAGAGTCAAGCCGCGTCTGTGTGGTGGGCTGCTGCGGCTTGGGGTACATGGTGGCGAGTGCCCAGTGCACGTACTTGGAGGGTCGGGGGACTTAGGAAGTAGTTATTTTATAGAGTTAGACGTATCATAACCCCAACTAAGATCCCTACCTAGTATGTAGTTAGTTTATATAGAACTATGTTTGTATCATATCCCCAATTAGGATCCCTTTTAGGGTACTTCTAAGTCTACCTATTACCCACTTACCTAGGTCCCCCGACCCTCTAAACCCTAAACCCTAAACCCTAAACCCTAAACCCCAAGTACCCCTTCATGGAGACCTCGTAGTCCACACAAGTTCAGGGTCATCTTGAAGCTGTCACGGTTTACCCATAGGCCCCATAGTGGTTCCTTTTTGGGGTTACCTGATAGGATTCTATATATGAACCCCCAAAAGGAACTACTTTAGGGCCTATGGGTAGGGCACCCTAAACCCAAATCCCGAAACCCTAAACCGTAAGTTTAGGGTTTAGGATTGCTTCGACAAGCCGCGAGGTTGCGAAGTCCTGCAACATGAGCCCTCGAGTCCTAAACCGCACGTCTGAACCCTTAGCCCTAAACCGGTTTAGGGTTTAGGGTTTAGGGTTTAGGGGTTTAGGGTTTAGGGTTTAGGGTTTAGGGTTTAGGGTTTAGGGTTCAGGGTTGAGGGCTTGGGGGTTTAGGGTTTCCGCATATATACTAGAATTATCAGAATTACCTACAGTCTCCATTGTAGTCGCTTGTGGGGGTTGCTTATGGGGTCCTGGATATATACTTGGTTTAACAACCAAAAGAAGGAACTAAAATGGAGACTACAGGTAGGTCCCAAAAGACCATCCCTACTAGGGTTTAGGGTTTAGGGTTTAGGGTTTAGGGTTTAGGGTTTAGGGTTTAGGGTTTAGGGTTTAGGGCCTACTATGGCTTGTATTTCAGGGAGCTAGTTCCAAATTAGCACTAGAACTAGAGCATCTTTGAGCCCTAAACCCTAAACCCTAAACCCCTAAACCCTAAACCCTGAACCCTAAACCCTAAGCGTTCAGGGTTAGGGTCTCCTACCCTGCTAGCGTAGCAGTCCTCTGGGTCCGTGGTCTCCGGTGACATCTTCCAGATTGTGCTGTCATAGAGGGTCTCGTTGTCCTTGGTCTCGACTCCGGCCCTAAACCGCTTAGGGATGTTTAGGGTTTAAGGTTTGGCACCACAAACCCGAAACCCTCAACCCTAAACCTCTAAACCCAAAGCCGTAAACTCGCAGTCACAGCCCCAAAACCGCAACTTGGAGGTTCATGGGTAGTTATAAGAAGGCCTTTTAGTAGGGTAACTATGCTTACAATCCATATTAGAGGACTTATAACCCCATTTACAACTACCCGTGAACCTCCAAAGTAATCCCGACGTCTTAAAATCCTAAACCTCCCAGCCCGAAACCTGAAACCTTGAAACGGTTACTTAATTCCCCCAATAAGCCAGGGAAACACAAGGTTAAGCTGTCAGATTACTACAAAATTCTATGAACCCAACAAAAGTTTAAAGGTCGGGTATTCGGGAACTAAGGTTAATCTAGGGACTAAGGCAAGGTTCCAGGAAGTAAGGGTTTAAGGTTTTAGGGTTCAGGGTTTAGCGGTTTAAGGGCTTAGGGTTCCACATAATTCAGTTAATGATGCTGCCTTCTGGAGCTCCTACCAAAAAGAGCGGGTACACTCTTCCAAGGGATCCTACAGTGATCGTCATTTGGAGAACCACTCTGAAACAGACCCCAATGCTTTACAAGCCCAGGACCTACCCTAAACCCTAAATCCCCAAAACCGAAGCCGTCTTGTACAACTGGTTCAACTTGGTGACGCCGATGAAGCACTGGCTGAGTGAGGCCTTTCTCGGAACTACATGATACAAACCGAGCAAATCAAAACTACGGTTGATGATACAAATCCTGCATTACCCATAATAATCAGGAATATACCATAATTCCCATATTTTAAGGCCCTTAAGGTCATGCAGGATTTATATCATCAACAGTATTGGTCCGAATGTGAAGTAGATGGAGATCAAAGTGGCGGCACGTGTAGCTCCTTAAGGTCACCTTCGGGGCCCAAGAGAGTTATTACCCACCAGAGTTATTACACCACTTTCATTGCCATCTACTAGTACCAAGAAACTGCGTCCCTGGACTCTTGTAAAGGAATGTGATTTGAGTTACGATCATGAGAATTGTTTGACAACAGCCCAGAGAACGATAGGCCACAGCCGAGCAGCATGCACACAAATGAAGTTGACCACCTGATGCACAGTGCGCAAGAGCGAGTTCAGTAACTCCAGAACACCTGTCATCCCCAAAATACCCAAACCACTGACATCGTGAACCCCAAGAAACTTCACAGATCTGGGTTTACGGCCATTAATGCTTGGAAGCTTCAGGGTCTGCTTTTCCAGTTTAGGGATGGTGACTTTTCTGGGTGAGAGAGGGGTTATAGGGGTACCCTTAATAGGGGTCTATAAGGGGGTTCTCAAGAGCTACTATAAAGGTTCTATTTAGGGTTTGGGGTTTAGGGTTTTGGGCTCCATAGTCAGTCTGGCCCTAAACCCTAAACCCTAAACCCTAAAACTTAAACTACCATAGCCATACGGTGCATGTTGGAAGGGTCCTCTTAAGAGCCGAATCTTCACTGCACATGGGCCCCCCCAAAAACTAAATCTCACACTCTGAGCACTGACTAGGACGATAGGAAGCCGTAAGAAATAGCCCTACTGACAATGCAAGCCCCTAAACACCTAAACCCTAAACCCTAAATAGAACCCTTATAGTAGCCCTTGAGAACCCCCTTATAGAACCCCCTATTAAGGGTACCCCTATAACTGCTCCCTCACCTCAGAAATGTCACCATCCCATCCCTGTCATAGATTCTAGGCACATTCTCAGTATGCTTGAAAGTGTAAGACGTAATAAGATCCTGAAGCACCGAAACGCTCAGACCGTAAAAGCTTCCCCTGAGGTTTTAGGATTTAGGGCCTAGGGGTTTAGGGTTTAGGGGTTTAGGGTTAAGCTGAGCCCTTAATGCTTTGCGTTTACTTGGAGGCAGTCCAAACCAGGATTGCCTGTTAAAGAAGAACAGGCTGGGCCATCTTTAGTACGAAAATTACGCAATACCCATACATGCCTATACTCTCCATTGTAGTTCCTTTCTTTCGTTACCCACATTTTATATTGTAGGATCCTAACCATACGAATGGGTTAACCAGACATAAAGAACTACCACAGAGACCATATTCTTTATTTGGGGACGCGTCTTTCAAAAGGACAAACGTGGAAGCAAAATCGAGGGGGAGTGGCCTCTTCCGGCGCGGACACGTAGGCCGCCTTTCCACCATGCACCTGGACCCAACGGCATGAGGGTTTACAAAGGCTTTGTAGGGTGTGATGATGTTTTATAAAGATTTTGCTGCGGTCTTGTCGTTACTATCAGATTTTGTATAGGACCTTCTTGAAATTAAGCGTCCCTTGACCATGGGTCCGCACAACAAGGTTTCTGTGCTGTGTCTATTTCAGGGTCCCTGGTTTTTCTCGTAAGTACGGTACTAGGTTCAAGCTACAGCATAGCCCATGACCTCCAATACCGCCCATACTAGCTGGCGGCGCAGGCTCTCTGCGCGCTCTCCGAGTTGGCCA